CCCCCCCGGCCTCGTCAGGAGGGGCTCTCAGGGAAATCAATGGGAGTTTTGTTGCTGATTTTACCGGGAGCAAAATCTGCCCCCCAAGACCTTCGCTTTTTAAAACAAGTTCCAATGAAAGCTTTATTCACCAGTGAAACATCCCGGCTAGGAGGTTGTTTCGCCCCAGTAACAGATGGGAAGAGGATTCTGACAGCAAAACGCGAGGGGAAAAAAAATCCTTTGTCTAAGAGAATGGGAAGATATTTTTTGTGTGAATAATTTTTCCAACAGTTAAATCAGTGTATGCAAGATGTGCCAGCGTGCCAGCAGCCCAGCTGCGGGAGGCAGCAAACAGGGACCCAACTTTGTCTCGGCTGCAACTGGCGCTGCATGTGAAGAAGGGCCAAGGGCAACTTTGTGCAACACTTTCAGACCAGTTCCTGCAGCCAGAGCAAGTCCTCAGCATCACCTGGGGCAATTCAGGAAAGAAAATTAAGTGCTTAAAAACAAAGCAAAGCCTGCTAGCTTTGCCCTAACTAACTGTAAACAACAAAAGTATCAGAAGTGTTTAAGGTGCTGGTTCCTTCCAGTCCCTCAAGGGGCTCCAGGAGAGATGGGGAGGGACTCTTGGTCAGGGAGGGGAGCCATAAGATGAGGGGGAAGGGTTTGACACTGAAAGAGGGGAGATTGAGATGAGATGTGGGGAAGAACTTTGGTGTGAGGGTGGTGAGAGCCTGGCCCAGGTTGCCCAGAGAAACTGTGGCTGCCCCATCCCTGGAGGGGTTCAAGGCCAGGTTGGAGGGGGCTTGGAGCAACCTGGTCTGGTGGGAGGTGTCCCTGCCCATGGCAGGGGGTTGGGACTGGATGGTCTTTAAGATCCCTTCCAGCCCAAACCATTCCATGATTTTATCATTCTATGGAGGTAGGAACACAGTCACCCTGAAGACCTGCAGGCAGGAATCCCTTGTGGTGGTCCAGCCTCTGACACGACCTTCTGCAGTCCCTTTCAAAGCTCCCACACGTACCCTTGTGAACCCTGCTGAAGGCTTCAATTATCACCCGTGTGTATGAAAAGAGTGGTGATCCCTGGTCAGACGAAAGATTATCTAGCCCACTGCCTTGTTCCTGATAGTGGACAGTGGTGGATACACAGGGAAAAAATAGGAAAAAAGGGCATGGACATACTGATTCCTTCTTGGAAACACTCTCCTACCCTTTTGTGCAGAAGAAATCCTGGAAGTTGGCCCCATCCCCAGAGGGGTTCAAGGACAGGCTGGACAGGGCTTTGAGCAACTTGGTCTGGTGGGAGGTTTCCTTGCCCATGGCAGGGGCTTGGAACTACATGGTCTTTAAAGTTCCTTCCAACCCAAACCAGTCTATGATTCTAAGAAAAACAATATTTTGGTTAGAAAAATAACTGAGTGGGATGCTCTCATTTGTACTGTACTGGGAATAATACACGTACCAGGGGACTGCAAATTAAATAGCAAAAGCAGTTTGATTCCCTCTTGTCAAAGTCTTCGGCTCCAGGGCCAAATATATTTCTTTCAACAATCAGTTCATGTAAGCCCAAATAATATGCAAGTGTTTCTGTATAGGAGCTGTACCATTTAGATGGATCTAATCCCATACCCTTCTCAGTAAGAGGAGAAGCGGTATGGCCATCAAAAATCATAGGCTGGGACCCAAGATACTACACAGGTAGATTTGTAGGGGGAACCTGAGAGGTAAGGACAGAACATACAGATGGGAAGGAAAATGCACTTAATTTGTTGGATTTTTACTGATAGCTTTGAAAATCACCTCCAAGAAATTTGTCTCAGTTGCTCTGGGAGTTATTTTACAGTAAAACCAAAGTATCAAAAGAGCAGAATTTGTCCACTTAGGACCTTCTACGGGTATGATGCCAGTTTTTCAGATTATAATATCACCTATGTTTTAGTGAAAACACTTTCTGCCCTTTCTCCTCTATTTCCCTCCATTAGAAGTGATTTTTTCCTGAGATATCTGTGCAGTAGTACACCAAACTCTTTCTCCTGGCCTGATGGTCAGCCTGAGCTGCAGTAAACAGCCTGGAACTACCGTGTACTCACAGCTCTCATCCTTCCCTGCTAAATTGGAGCTGGCCAGAAGATACAGCACCTGAGAGGCCTATGAGCAGGAGAGCTGCATGCCCAAAGCAAAGTAAAAGGATATATATTATAAATGGAGAGGATTTTCTGCGCCAGATCTTGCGCAGACACCGTCCCTCATGTCACACGTAAAAAAAATCTGTTTGCTGCCTTCAGCCCAGTGCAACAACAACAGCACAGAAGGGGAAGAAGAGCAGCTCTGTGCAAGCATAAAGAAACAGGATGCCCATCGATAAATTCTCAAAAGATGCTCAAGGTTGCCTGCAATATTTGTTGTAAGTAAAAATAGTGATGTAATGCATGCAGAAGCGCTGGATGAGCAAAGCCCTTTGAGGGTTCGACTTCTCAACTACAGGCCTCCTTGAAAGCATCAGGCCTCTGCGGAGAACAATTTTTAAAAATTTTAAAGTAACTGGACTTAAGTACAGTTGCCTGTACTTAAGCAAGCAACAGGCAACCAAAGAGCCCCTCCAGATTTTGGGAAGGGCTTAGGGAAAAGGACATTACAGTAAGTTGTGTTGCAAAGACAGACTTGTTGGGCAGGACGGGGCCCCAGGTGCTGTGTGCAGCACTGACTGCTAGTCACGGAGGCATTGACCCTGCAATGGGCAACCTAGGTATGGTGGCACTGGGAACATACGTGGAGTCACAGAATCATGGAATGGTTTGGGTTGGAAGGCACCTTAAAGACCATCCAGTTCCAACCCCCCTGCCCACGTTGCTCCAAGCCCCCTCCAACCTGGCCTTGAACCCCTCCAGGGATGGGGCAGCCACAGCTTCTCTGGGCAACCTGGGCCAGGCTCTCACCACCCTCACACCAAACAAGTTCTTCCCCACATCTCATCTCAGTCTCCCCTCTTTCAGGTTAAAACCCTTCCCCCTCATCCTATGGCTCCCCTCCCTGATCCAGAGTCCCTCTCCAGCGTTCCTGGAGCCCCTTGAGGGACTAGAAGGGGCTCTAAGGTCTCCCCAGAGCCTTCTCTTCTCCAGGCTGAACAACCCCAGCTCTCTCAGCCTCTCCTCACAACAGAGGGACTCCAGCCCCTGAGCATCTTCATGGCCTCCTCTGGACCCACTCCAACAGGTCCATGTCATTCTTACGTTGGGGTCTCAAGAGCTGGACACAGTACTTCAGATGGGCCACATCACTCTATATTCCAGTCAGAATCATGCCAGAGCACTGGTACCCTGTAAATGATATCTCTCCCATTGCTAGAGGACCACTTAATTAGTATCAGCTACTCAAAATACCTCTTATGAAATAGTGAGAGGAAGATGGAGAAGCTGCATGATATACACAAGCTCAGAAAGGGTATTCCTATATCATTTTTTGGAGTATGGACTTCAGAGGCTGAAGCAAAAATGGCAAAGTGGAACTGCTCATAATATAATATGAAGCTGCCATAAACAGTTGGCCTTACACTTTGCTGGTCTTTATTTGTTGTATGTGAGCTGCTTGCTAAATACCATCAGAGATAATGTATCATCAGAAACTCCTCCAGCCTGAGCAGTGAGACACTGACATGACAAACATGAACATGCTCCAGACAGTGATAACGTCCAATGCGAGTTCATCATTTGCTATTAAGTCCATATGAAACAGAACTAAATTTAAAATAAAAATAAAAATAAAAATAAAAATAGCTAAAATTGAATCTCAAATACAAAGAAGTTTGGGTAACCACCAAGATTGTGTTTCTGAAGCTCCACAGACAGTAAAGCTGAGTTAACAGAAGGCCAAAATCTGGTAGGAGTCAGACTACTTCTCTCTCATGCAGGGAACAAGTGCATCTCTCTCTGCTGCAAGGACAACATGCAGCCCTTATTTCTAAACTGCAGTTTATTTTTGAATGCATGTGAAAGAGAAAAACTCACTTTGGATGGGCAGGTCTGCTTGGGAATTTCCTTAATTACCTTTCACTGAATATGTCATTTGAATCAGTGTTTGACTGATTAC